GCGGCCCCCGGCCGAGTCGCTAGCGCCGCACGACGTCTTCATCGCCGTCAAGACCACCAAAAAGTTTCACCGCGCGCGCCTCGACCTGCTGCTGGAGACATGGATCTCACGCCACAAGGAGATGGTGAGCCCCCCGCAGCCTGGGCAGGCGGGCTGGGGAGAAGGCACTGTCTTGTCCAGCCGGTGGCAGCATCCGATGGGCGCCAGGCTGTATCTCTCTCCAGCCACTGGGAATATCTAGAGGTGATGATCCCCTTCCAGCCCAGTTTGCCTGGTGGGGCCACCCTCCCCATCACACTGTTGTGAGAGCCCCAGCTGGGGATGGTCCCCAGCCAACCTCCAGGGCGCTGGGCAGCCCACACTGACCCTCCACCAGCCACCAGTGCTTAGGGTTGGTGCCCTGCGATGCTTTTGGCCCCTCAAACACTGGAACTAATTAATAGGGAATTCTTGTCCCCAAACCTTCCTAAGGCAGATTCTGCGTGGGGCATCCACCCTGAGCTCAGATCCTTCCCTGGGAGGAGAACTTTCCTCAAGGTGGAGTGGGGGTTAGGACCCCTGGGCACAACCCTTGCAATGGAGTGGGGGACAGATCAGTGCTGAAGACATTTGGATTTGAGGGAATGAGAGAGCGCTGGGTTTCAAGGTCTGTCTGGGGGCCTTCTCTCCACAGTGCAGGAGTCTGGAGCCTGGAACCCTGTGCTTAGTACATCCTGGCTGAGCATCGACTTCCTACACACACACATAATAAAGACACACCTCACTTTGAAAATCTCCCTCCAGGCTGCAGCAGGACCGTTGGGTTGGGGCAGGACAGGGGCAGAGTGTGAACCCTGCTCAGGCAGCGGTGGTGGGGGAACACCCCCAAGCTGGGATATTCAAGGGACTAACTAGGCATTTGAGGTGAGGGTGAAGGACCCTTGACCCAGGTGGGGTCTCAGAGAAGACTCCACACCTCTTCCTCCCGATTTGAACCCTTGAGGTCTGGGGGCCTTCTGGCCTGGCTGAGCCTGCTTTGGGGGCAGGATCCTGGTGAGGTCATGATGGAGGCTAGGAGGGCAGGGTCCTTTCTAGTCCAAGCATGGGGAGGGGGCCCTGGGAACCCCAAGGCAGCCTCCTGGGAACGCAGCGTCCCTTTCCCAGGGGCTCAGCAGGCTGGCGGGAGGGGGCGGCGGGGGCCGCGGGTTTTGTTTGGCTGCTGGGCCGTTAGGATTCCCAGCGCCGGGCGGCTCTCACGCCGGCCGCTTGGGCAAGGTAACAAAGCCCCTTTCTCCAGTGGAGAAAGGCGTCCGGCCTCTTGTGTGCAGCTATGTGCTCCATGGGAACCGCCGCCGGCGTGCTGGCCACTCAGGTTGCCTGGAGATGAGGGCCTGTGGGGCCCCCCCACATCCCTGAGTGACAGCACTTGCGGGGCACCATCCCTGAGCCAGGCACCACCCTCCGGGACTCTGCCTCCCCGCTGTGTGACCTTCGGCAGTGTTCAGCCCCCTCTGGGCTGCCACCAGTTCTCACACCTCCCATCTTGGGTTTTGGGGGCTTTCTCCAGCAGAGGGGAGTGTGTTGGGGTTTGGGGGTCTTTTCCTCCAGCAGAGGGGATGTGGTCGGTCTCAGGTGCCAGTCCCTGTGAGCTAGGTGACCTTGGGCAAGACCTAGGGCTTCTCTGACCCTCAGTCTCCTTATCTCTGAAATAGAGAAAGCATTGCCCTTCCAATAAGGTGCTGTAAAAGAGGACTGGCAAGACCTGGGTGTGGGGAATGAGCACGGTGGGGCACTCAGAACCCAGGTGGGGGCTGTCATTCCCTTGGACCCTTAGCTTCCTGCTGAAGGGCAATTCAGGTTTCCTTTTTGCCAGCTGACCCCACCCCGGAGAGGCTGAAGCTGCCCCAACAATCAGTTCATGTGTCACAGCAAGCAAGAGCCCCTCTTACCATGTACTGTGGGGGAGGGGTCCTTGAAACTCTTTCAAAACAGAGGATCCTCCTTTCCCAGCCCTGTGCAGGGTGATTCAGACCCTGTCTGACCGGGGAAACTCAAGGAAGTCAGGGCTGCACTAGGGGGAAACCCAGAGAGGCTGTGTGAGCTGGAAGTGGGCATCTGACCCATGCTGGGGAGGGAGGGGCTTCCTGGAGGAGGTGCCATTTGAGCTAGACTGGGAGTAGAAAATGCCCTGAAAGGGCAGTTGGGCATCATGAGCACGGGCCTGGGGGATGTGCCAGAAACTTCTAGCTACTGGAGTGACCTGGGCGGGGGTGGTCAGCAGGGGCCACACCACGACAGGCCTTGAAGTCCAGGATGAGCGGCCGGGCCTTTGGCCGACACGTTCCTCCCCCATCCCTCCCAGGAGTGGGCCAGGCTGCTGTGGCTGCCACCGCAGCAGCCACAATTGTTGGGGGGAGAGCTTGGCATCCTGTGTTTCTTTGAATCGCGGCTCCAGGAACAATGCTGCTTCCTGTGGGTGCCCCCCACCCGCCCTCCGCCAGCCCTGCTGTTGTCAGGGAAGTGGGGAGGGGTCTGAGGGGTTCTCGCTCCTAGAAAGGCGCAGCTGGGATGGACTAGCACCACCTCTGTCCTCGGTACAACCGCAGGCTGGGGGCTGCCCCTCTGGGCCTCAGTTTCCCCATTTGTGTCCACAGTTAGTAACGGTGCCTTCCTCCCAGGGCCGTTAGGGAGAAGCAGGAAGAGAACTGTTCTTGGCATTTTGCTTGGGGCTTATGTGAGCTCTGGTTACGCCCATTGCACAGAGGGGGAAACTGAGGCTCTGAGCAGTGGGTGAGGCCTGTGGCCAGGCAGCCCAAACCTTCCCTCCTGGTTGCTCTGTTGTGGGGAGACAGGAGGCCCAGCACCCTCACAGCCCCACAGCCCCACCCCTCCAAGTACTCCTCACTGAACAAAGGTGACTTTAATCTCCATAGCCTTGGGCTGGGTTTTTAGGGCACCACCAAAGCGCGGGAGAACAGGCCTTGCTTGATCTCATTAAGAAAGCATTTTCCTTTTAATCCAGTGGCGGCAACGGCGCGTCTGCACGGGCCGGCCTCAGCCTCCCACGGCATTCCTGGGCTGAGGTGCTGGGGAGCGGGCGGGGGGCTGGATGCGAGTCTGTGCGTGCGGGCTGCCCTGGGGTGTCTGCTCTGGAAGGAGAGGGTGCATGTGTGGAGAGGGTGCAGAATGAGCCCGCCACCCCTCTTAGCTCTAGGCCCACCCAGCCGGTGGCCTTGCCCCAGCGTGGGCCAGCGTCTGGGGTCAGGCTGGGCAAGGAGCCGGGGCTGCTGGTTGGGGTGGGTCCCCCAGGTCCCTGGGGGTGTACTGCTCTCTACGCATGCTGGCTCCTCCCTTGGACCCATCTGTGCACAGAAGGAAACCGAGGCCTGGCGGGCATGGATGTGGGGGTTTCTCCTGCTGCCTGTGCTCAGAGGACCCGCCACTGGGCCCCCGGCTTTGCACTCAGCCCCGCCTGGGTGCTCTGGGCGGCACGCGCTGGGCGGGCCAGCCAGAGGAAGGAACATTCCTCCCCGTGTGCCGACCGGCCCAGGCGGGCGCCGGCAGCTCCTGGTCCCTCCCTGTCGGCCCCCCCTCTTCCGCGGAGCAATCCTGGCAGGGATGGCCCTGTGCCGGCACAGGTGGAGCCTTGCTGTGGCCTTGAGTGAGGCCTGTCTGTGAGCCTGGGTTTCCTTGTCTGAGCAGCCGGCGGGGGTGCCCGGCTGTCCAGGTGCTGGGGACACTGATCCCTGCGCTGGGGCATGTGCGGTTTCCTGCCTCAAGCTCACTGACGGACGGCACCCCCTTAGAACCCGGAGGCTCCTTTGGCTCAGAGAAGGTGACCAGCTCAGCTGGCTGGTCACACAGTTAGGGGTGCGAGGGGCCCAGCTTGAGGGCCCAGCCCGGAGGACTGCAGGGCTGTGGCCGCACCCCTGCCCGCTGGACCTTGCGCCCAGCCCGGCCCAGTTAACCAGGCCAGCTGTATGGTAATGGGCCGCTAGGCCACTCCCGCTTAACGCGGCCGAGTTCCCCTTGCCGCGCGGCCCAGGACAAAGCTGGCGGACAATGCCTGGTGATTCATCCTCCCTCCGGGCCCTTTGTCCAACAGTGCTTGGCAGACGCCCAGCAGAGGCCTTTGTCCCTGACTGATTGAGACTTGGCTTCCCAAAGCCGACCTCCTCTGCCTGTCCCCCCACCACCCTCTGCCCCCTCCCACAGGCCGGGCACTGTGTCAATAAGGGTGTGTGCCCCACCAGGTGCGCAGGGCGGGCCAGGAGCCTGTTACCTGGCGCGTGGGCGGGGCACCCCACCTGGCTCGTGCCTGCACAGCTGCCGGGTGACCTTGGGCCCAGCTGTCGAGGTCGGGGGTGGGGTCTGCCTGAGCCCCTGACCCACTTCCACTCAGGCTAAGCATTGAGCCCCACTCTGCACAGGGGGAAATTGAGGCCCAGAGAAGGGTGGGGCAGTGGCATGACAGAGGGGTCCCGTGAAGCCTTGGGGTGCCCAGCCCTGGACCCTGCAGTGGACAGGGGTGGGGGCACAGAGCTGCCTGTTCAAGGCCGTATTTCTCCCTGCAGACGTTCATTTTCACGGACGGGGAAGATGAAGCCCTGGCCAGGCGCACGGGTGAGCCCTGGATGTGGGGAGGCAAGGGGGGCTCCACCCCAGAGGAAACCCTCCCCTCGGGAGAGGTCACGGAGTCCACGGGCCTGGGAGGGCAGTTTACTCAGCGGGTTTGCTCAATGCCCCGCCCCGCCACTCCGCCCCCACCCCCAATTCTCATGCAAATGAGGCCCTTTCAGCTCCCGCAGCTCTTTGAGCTGCTCTGGCGGCAACAGGTGGCTGGTGCTGGGAAAAAGCGGCCTGAATGGACAGGGGCGGGCGGGGCGCGCCGGCGGGGATCACCAGGCCTGGGTCCTCTCCAGTAGGGCAGGGCGGGGTGCCGCTGCAGGCACAGCGTGGACCCAGGGCGCCCGGGGACAGACTGCCACCCGCCCTGGCCTGCTCTGCTCTCCGCCTGCCTGCCGTGTCACCCCAGGCTAGGCTGCCCTCTCTGAACTGTCTCGGACCCACTCACAGCCCTTCCCCTTGTCCGCAGGCAATGTGGTCAACACCAACTGCTCAGCTGCCCACAGCCGACAGGCGCTGTCCTGCAAGATGGCCGTGGAGTACGACCGCTTCATCGAGTCGGGGAGGAAGTGAGTGCTGGCCTTTGGCTGGGGCCCAGGGAGCGTCCCCTCCTCGGGCTCCTGTCCTGGCAGTTCCCCCCCCATGCCCTCCCTGACGGCCCTGCCTCGCCCAGGTGGTTCTGCCACGTGGATGATGATAACTACGTAAACGTGAGGGCCTTGCTGAGGCTGCTGGCCAGCTACCCGCACACGCAGGACGTCTACCTCGGCAAGCCCAGCCTGGACAGGCCCATCCAGGCCACGGAGAGGGTCAGCGAGAACAAGGTGGTGAGTGTTCCAGCCACATACGCCTGTCCAGGGGAGGAGGCTGGAGGTGTCCCTGCAGTTTACAGGCGCAGGGAGAGAGGGTCTGGGGGTCTCACCACGTTCTCCCTCCCGCAGCGTCCTGTCCACTTCTGGTTTGCCACGGGCGGGGCTGGCTTCTGTATCAGCCGAGGGCTGGCCCTGAAGATGAGCCCATGGGCCAGGTGAGTGCCCTGGGGCCCCAGTGAAGCTGCGCCAGGTCCCAGGGTTCCCGTGGCGGGGCCTGGCTTGGTTCGTCCTCCCTGCAGCAGTGTGCCCAGCTTCACGTGCACTGGCAGGGGGAGTCATCCCTACCACTGCCCACCAGCCTCTGCTCTGGGGGGTCAGCACCCAGGTTGGGCGGGACACCTTCCTACACCTGGTAACCCCCGACTCACAGAGAATCATCAGGCTGGTACGGAGGAGGGGACCGTCCTGGGGCTCACGGAGGTGGGGAGCTGCCAGCGTGAGAGCCCGTTAGGGACACAGACTGGTCTGCAGGCCGCCCCGCCAGGCGCATCCACCTCCTCTCTGAGCCTGGCCAAGCACTCCGTACGACACTCTGCCCAACGGGGTCCTGCCCAGCTCCTGCCTCTGCTCACTGTGGCACTTCCCTCCCACAGTGGAGGCCACTTCATGAGCACGGCCGAGCGGATCCGGCTGCCGGACGACTGCACCATCGGCTACATCGTGGAGGCCTTGCTGGGCGTGCCTCTCGTCCGCAGCGGGCTCTTCCACTCCCACCTGGAGAACCTGCAGCAGGTGCCCACCTCCGAGCTCCATGAGCAGGTGTGCCTCCCCAGGGGCTCAGGAAGGGACTTGGGACTGAGAAGGGGCTGAGAGAGGAGGGGAGGGGCCGATGGGAGGGAGGAAGGGAGGAGAAGGGGGAGGTAGGGAGGAGGTGGGGTCACTGTTCTAAATGGGTCAGGAGAGGCCCTGCTGTCGGCTGCCAGCCAGGCACCCACGTCCTCCACGCAGGTCCTGTAGTGCATCCTTCCCGCCTTCTGTCTCAGTGGGACAGCTGGTCAGTGCCTGTTGGGTCCCCCGGGTCAGTAGCTGCTCTCTGGCAAGGACTAGCTGAGTCCACCTTGGACATGATCCCTGGAGTGTGCAGAGCAGGGGGGGTGGTGCCGCACGGCTCACAGACCTTCCTTCTTGGTCTGAGGGTGTGCAGAACGCAAGCCTGTTCCTGTTCCCTCATTCAGAGCCACACGCCAGCCTTGGGCAGAGCTGGGGTGGGGGGCATCGGGACCCCTCCCGGCATCACTCTGTCCCTCTCTTCGCAGGTGACCTTGAGCTACGGCATGTTTGAAAGCAAGCGGAACGCTGTCCACATTAAGGGGCCCTTCTCTGTGGAGGCTGACCCATCCAGGTGAGGAAGGGGAGGCCCAGATGGGGGCTGGCTTACATCGGGTCCCCTGGGGTCTCCTGCGGTTAAGCAGCACGGCTAGGAGGGCCTGGTGCTGTGAGCTCAGCCCCCGACTCTGTCCCCACAGGTTCCGCTCCATCCACTGCCACCTGTACCCGGACACACCCTGGTGTCCCCGCACTGCCACCTTCTAGCAGCTTGTGGCCGAAACCCTGTCCCCGGGCACCCCTGGTATCCAAAGGGCCTGGGGAACCCTGTTGTGCTGCCCTGTCCTCGGCATTTGAGGCTCCCCCAGGGCCGTGCCTGTGTGTGTACTGTGTGCCCCTCCGTGTAGCAGACTGCTGGGCGGCTCTGCGCCGCCGAGGAGCAGGCAAAGTGCCACCTGTCCGTTTTCCCCTGCTCTGCCGGGTAGCGGCTCCGGGCCCACGTCCCAGAAGGACTTTTACGTCAGGGGTCACTCTGAGGGTGGTTTTCTTATTACTCTGAGGTCTTTGGGCAGCGTGGGGCCCGGAGGCCACTCTGCAGCGCTGTGCAGGGCCCTTCCCTCCTAGGCAGGCCCTGAGCGGGGGACACCTGCACCCTGGGATCCCGCTCCTGCCTCGGAGCCCCCAGGACGGCTCACGCTGGGTCCCCCTGCTGAGCTCTGGCCTGGGCCCTGAGGGTCATCTTCATCATAATGGCAGCCCCAGTGGCCTAGCGGCGGGGGAGGTGTAGCGCCCCCGGGGAAGGGGACGACCCAGCCCTCTCAGCCGTCTTCCCTTTGTGATGGGGAGCCAGCTGAGCATTTTATCTCCTCTCTGAAGTAGAGAGAAAGTCGCCCATACTGGGTGTGTCTGTAAATATTGTGACAGTATTTTTCACTGTGCTTGTTTTTCAAAGTGGGGGGTAAAAGGTAGGGTGTTTTTGACCTTTCTTCTGGGGGGAGGTGGGGAAGGCTGTTATTTTTATCTTTTCTGTGGATCAGAAAAAGCAGAAGCCAAACTTGGGACATCTTTGCTGTTAAAGCTGATGGAAATGTCTGACACTCTGTGTATTTATATGTCGTGGGATCTGGCCTCTCCCCGCCCACCTCCCGCACAGAACCTGTCTCCCACCAGCCTAGCTCTGCGCACCTGGCCAGTGGGGCATGTTTTGTCTTCTGTTTTTCTTTCTGCAAAGACATAGCTAGGAAAGTGAATGATAAGGGAAAAGTTCTCAGGGAATTGAAGTGTGTTGCTATGGTGACGTCCTTTGCTGTGAATAAAGATGCTCTTTGGGGCACCCCTTGGCTGGAAGTTGCCCTGAGCTGCAGGTCGGTGGGAGGTGGACCCAGCTGGGCTGGGGGCTTGCTGGGTGGAGACCCCCAGGCCGGCTATTGCAGGAAGGTCTCTTGTGGCCAGGCCAGGGCTCCTGCCTAGGAGTGGGAGGCGTTCTGAGCCTGCAGGTCTTAATCAACGGGCAGCCCTGAGGCTCTGCAGCCCTGGCCTGGGCCAGCCTGGCCCTGGACAGCTGCCAGGGAGTCCAGCTCTCTCTGCGGGAGGACGGGGGCTGGCTGTGGCCTGGCCAGGGACCTCCTTACCCGGCTTCATCCCTGTCACGGGCACGCAGACGGCACATTGTTGCCCCCTTGTGCAGATGGGGAAACAGGCTCAGAGCAAGTGATGCCCAAGGTCAGGTAGCTGGGCTGGTAAAGAGCTCACACTCTGAGGCCAGCTGTCCCCCACTGCCCATGCTGCTGGCCCTGGACTGGCCCCAGGATTCTGGGCCAGGACTCGCCCTGCACTGCTTTTCTGCAGAAAGCAGCTCCTCGGCTCTTCCTCAGATCAAGCCTGTGTGATGGCAGGAGTGGGGAGGGGCTGCTCTGGCCTCAGCTGGGGAGTCCCCCTCTGCACCCCTCCCTGGTCTGGGGCAGCCCTCACTTCCTCTTCCTCAGACTGAGCCCAGCTGCCCCTGCGGCTGCACAGTCCCTGTGACCTCACCCCCCACTGCCCCAAGCTTGGCCCTATCAGCACATCAGAAAGCAGACACAGTGGTTGGAAGGGTGCCTCCCTTCCGGTCCCTGATCTGGAGGCCAAATGCCAGCCCCACCCCCACAGGACCCAGGCTCACACATGCACCACCCCCAGGGAGAGCCCCTTCCTCATCCCTGGGGCCTGCCCTGGCCTGGGGGGGGACTGGCTGGGGCCTGACTGAATCAGCAGTGTGGTTTGGACAGTGACTGCGCCAGTGGGAGGGAAGGAGGGCCCCTCACCATTACACAGCCTCACCCCTATCTGGGAGACACCCCCAGCCTCACCTCAGCATCCACTGAGTGCCAGCTGGGTAGGGACACATGGGGGGGGTAGGGGGTGTCAGCGGAACTGCTGCCTCCTGCGGGCAGAGGCCCTGGGCCCCCTTCCTGCTGTGTGAGTCAGAGGAGCCTCTGACCTGGCCGAGTGTAGACCCAGGGCCCCAGCTGCGCTGGCATCACCTCCCCACAGAGCTGGCGGGGCCCGGAGGCCCCTGCCGGGGCGGGGAGACTCCACTGGCAGGTCATAGCTGGTCTGAGCTGCCCCATGGGGTGGGGCGCTGAGCAGGGAGGGCAGAGGAGACCAGGTTGGTGGGGGGAGCCTTGACTTCAGTCCGAGAAAGGGGGACACCCTGGTGCTCTGGGCCTGGGAGGGGTCACAGAGGGGCACAGGCCAGCAGCATCCTGGCCCCTTTTTTTTTAAATCAAGGTGCTGGGGACTGAACCCAGGACCTTGTGCATGCTAAGCACATGCTCTACCACTGAGCTGTACCCGCCTCCCCTTTCCTCTTAAATGAGAAGCTGAGGGAGGAGGGAAGTTCCCCTTCCTCAGAAGGGGAAGCAGGTCCATGAGGCCTTCCAGGAACCGGGCAGCCTGACTTCTCCCATCTGCTGCCCTCAGGGTGTGAGGCGGGCTCCCCCTTCTCCCAGGAGACGAGTCACAGATGCCCCCTTCCCCGAGGCACAACTGGGGGCAGCAGTGTCCCACCCCCAGGTGGCATCGTTGCCCCTCACCCACGCACTCGGCCAGTGGTCAGTTGGAGAGGTCCTGGCTGGCTCAGGCGGCTCCACACCCCGCAGCCCAGCCCAGCCTGGCCCTCCCAAACGGCTGGTCACTTGCAGGCTTCCAAAAATAAAGAGTAAAACCGCAACCACTGGGGCTGCTGGGTGCTCCCCCAACCCCTGGCTTCCGTGCAGCCAGAGCAGAGGCTGAGCCAGGTCTTGGAGGGGCTGAGAGGTGCCAGGGTGGGCCCCTTCCTGCTCAGTTTAAACCAGCTTCCCTTTACCTGGGCTGGAGCAGGGACACCCTGCAGCAGCAGAGTGGGGAGAGGAAGGTGTTCCCAGTCTCACCACAGCCTGGGTGAAGGGCAGACAGGGGACCAGCCAGGATGCCTGGAGGGCTGGGAGGGAGGGTGGGATGTGGTCGGGTCTCCAGGACCCTCCTCCACCCAGCCCAACCACCAGCAGGCAACCAGGGCTTTTCATAAAGCTCCATCCAAGGTTCGAGGTTTGAGAGGCCCGACCCTGCTGGTGGCTTCAGCCAGTCCTGCCTTCTCTGGGCCTGGGATCAGAGGGCACGGGAGGTGGGGGACCAGAGCCAGCCCCATCTTTTTGTCTGTCAGACCAGTTGACCAGTCCTGCTGCCACCCCAGGCCCAGGTGCCCAGGCCCGGCCTCACCACGTGTTCCTGGATGTGACCCCTTCCCCAGGTCCTTTCTGAGCCCAGGGCTGGACACACAGAAGGCACTTGGCCCATGGCTAGGCGTGGACCCAGGGACGGAGGAGCTCCTCGTCCTGACCCCTGGAGGCTGCCCACATTATGCAGCCATGCTGAATGCGGGGTCTCGGAGCTGTGGCTGCTTTCCCCCATGCCTGCCCAGGCCTCAGGGACAAACCCCTCACCATGTATAACCCACCATAGTCCTTGGGCGCCACCTGGTGGCCAGAGCCGGTAGTTTCTCCCACGCCGAATCCACCTTTCCCAGGACCCCACCCTGATCTAGGGTGGAGCCCCCGAGTGGCAAGCAGGAGACCCCATCTCTGCAGCTCCTTGCTTGCTTTTAAAAGTTCACATCACGAATCTTTTGTTATTACCCATATTTGCTGTATTACCAATGTTTGGAATCTACTGGTTATGACCAATACTTGGTTCATGCAGCACATGCGATGTCAAGAGGCAAGCTTGAGCCAGCTGCTGCAGGCCACCCCTGCCGCCATCCTGCCCCCTCGCTCTGGCGTGGGGCTGGCTGCTGCATCTCCTCGCAGCCCATCCTGGTGGAATCCCCAGATCCTCCACCTCAGCCAAGTGACCGCTCATTCCTGCTTGATCGCGGTGGTCACAGCTAAGCCCCAGACCAGCAGCCTGCGGTCACTGGGAACTTGCTGGGAATGCAGATTCCCGGGCCTGCCCAGCCCACTGGGAACTCCAGGTGGCTCCTCCAACAGTGTCCATTTGACCCTGCCAAGTCTCGGCCTCTGAGGACCCAGCACCCCCTGCCGGGAATCTGCTGTCCTCACACCTCACTCCTCCTGGAGATTCTCCTGTGACCTGGTGCAGACCCTCCTCCTCTGCCCCCTCCCACCAAGTCAGCCTCTGCTGCCCCCACCCTGTGGGTGTCCACAGGCCCCCTGGTCCCAGGGAGACTTTGCCTCCTGGCTGACAACCACTCTGTCCCACACTGAGTGTCCTGAGTCTGTTCCTGGTGACTTGGCCTCTGAGACCCTTCCTACACCATTGGTGGCCCCTCCCCCAATACCCTGCCCCCTCCTTGATCCCCACCCATGGCCATTTCCCAGACCTTGCCCACCCCATAGCAGCAGTGTCCCACTCTGCCTCCACCTCCTGTCTGTCCAGCTCACTCCCTCTGGTTTCCGGACTCCACTGGAGTCCGCAGATCCCGCACCCCTCAAGGACCTGTCCTCCCCTGGCTGAAATCCCAGGGTCTAGTCACAGCCTTGAAGTCACCTTCACCTCCCTTGGCCTCTCTCACTTCCACATCTTCTCTTGGCCAAGCCTGTAGTCTCTGACCTGCTGCGTCCAGCCCTCCGCCTGCTCACCACCCTCCCATACCTGAGCGGCCAGAGGGGCTGCTTCCCCACCTGGGGAGTCTCACCTGAGTTCCAGACCATGCGTGTAAGGGGCCCTTGGGGGTTCCACTGTCCCTGGTCCCCTGGCTCTCCCACAGCCCCCCACCTCCTCTTCAGCCTTCTCGCGACTCCATGAGACCATCTGGCACCCCAGCCCCAGGCTACCCATGTGCTCTGAGCACTGGGCCGGCAGGGGGCGCTGAGCTCCTGTCTGTGGCCATCCCCTGCCCTGTGACCTACGTCTCAGCCCCACTTGGCAACTCAGCAACATCACTCCACCAATGGACTGTCCCCTCTTCCCTGCCGCAGCCACTTCTGTCCCCGAGACCATTCCTGCCAGCCTTTTCAACACGCTGTTATTTCCCCATGTTAAAACACACGGGCTCGTGGGGGAGTCTAGCTTAGCGGTAGACCTGGGTTCAATCCCCAGCACCTCCGTTAAATAAATAAATACATAAAAACCTAATTACCTCCCCTCATCCCCAAAAAAGGAAACACACATAGACTTCTCTGGGTCACTCCCACCCACCAGCTGCTGCACCATTTTTCTACTTTGCAGCTAAACTCGAAAAAGGAGCTGTCCCCGTGCCAACTGGAGGGCTTCACCGGACCTGCCCCTGTCCAGTGTCATCCAGGTTCCCAGATCCACTGGTCACTGCCTAGTCCTCGTGGACCTGGCCACCAGCAGCATTTGACATGGTCCCTCACCCCTCCCCGAGACTGTCTTCATGCATCTCCCAGGATACCCACTGTCTTGGCTTTCTCTTGCCTCACTGGTCCCCCTTGCACCCCTCAGACCCCAGACCGGAAGCCCCCAACCTGACCCTTGGCCCTGCTATCTCCTCTTCCGCCCCACTCCCTGGGGGACATCACCCAGGCTCATGGCTTTAAACAGTACAATGCCCAAGACTCCAGCAGACCATCCCCACCCAGTGCTCTCCCCAGAATCCCGCCATGCTCCAAACCTCCCCTGGGGTATCCAGTGAACACCTGGGGCTCAACATGTCCCAGACTGGACCTCCGAGCGCCCCTAGATCCCACCTCTATGACAACACAACTAGATCCAGACTGCACACCTCCACACAGTGTTCCAGGAAGTGCTCCTGGCATTACCTTCCAGGGCCCGATCCCTCTCACCGCTCCACGGCTGGCCACCACCCTGGCCTGCGCCGCCCTTGGCTCTCATCTGCATCACAGAAGTAGCCTCCTAGTAGTCTGCCACTTCGGACCTCGTCCTCTTCCCAACTCAGCAGCCAGGGCGATCCTTTAAAATGAATGTCAAGTCATGCCAGTCTGCTCAGACCCTCCATGGCTCCCATCTCCCTCAGAGTCGATGTCAAAGTCCTTACAAGGCCTATGAGCCCTTGGCAATCCCCCCAACCTTTACTTCATCTCCAGCCACTCTCCCCCTCCTCCCTCTACTCTGGTCACCTGCCCCTCCTAGCTTGACTACAAGAGGCATGTATCTGCCTCAGGGCCTTTGCACTGGCTGCTCTCCTGCCTGGAGCTCTCTTTCCTCAGATATCCTCCAGACTATCTTCCCATGGGTGACAGAAAAATGGCTCCCAAAGATGTCCAAGTCCTACTCCCTGGAACCTGTGAATAGATCACCTTACATGGCAAAAGGGATTTTGTAGATGTGAGTAAATTAAGGAACTTGAGATCAACCTGGATTACCCAGGAAGGCCTGATGCAATCACAAAGGTCCTCATAGGGAGGAGGCAGGAGGGGCCAGGGTCCGAACAGAGGTCTGAAGGTGCTGCACTGCTGGCTCTGAAGTCAGAGCAGGGGCTTCGAGCTAAGGAATGTGCAGCCTCCAGACCCAGCATGTCACTGTACCTGCCCTGCTACGCAGACAGGAAACTGAGGTCTGAGAGGGGCAGGGCGTGCCCGGAGCCTTTCCCTCATGGTCCTGGGCACTCACTCCAAGCCTGAGGCTCTCTCACCTTTTTGGTGCAAAGGTCCCCAGTTCACTCTCCTCACCACATGGCAACATGCTGGGTGCTCAGCGGTGCCCCCTTCAGTGCACATGCATCCTGGGCTTCCTTCCCTAGAAGCCAGTCAAATCAACGCCCTGGACCGGGCTTCAGGCGTGTGCAGGAGGCAGCGGCTCCGCCCGGCTCCCCCGCACCAGCCCAGGTGCCCACCGTGCTGAGAGCAAGGAGCCCAGGTGCTAGCAATGCCACCGCAGCCCCGTGTCTTACAGCTCCCTAGCCCGCCTGTGCTCAGGGCACCGGCGACAAACGCTCTCAGGGAACGTGTGCCTCCTCCGACCCCACAGGTCCCAAGGGTCTCCCTGTGAGGGGGGTGGTATCCCTCCCGTCTCCTTAGGGTTATGAGCTGGGCTTTGCGGCCTCGGACAACAGGGCACCTTCCTGGGCCCGCTTCTCAGATGACGAGCGTGATCCCGGCCCGTCCCACCT